ACTGTGGGTGTGTGGAGGTTAGAGGATATCTCAGAGTTTCCACCATGTGGATGTTGAGGCAATAACTCAGGCTGTTAGGCTTTTTGCATGTGTTTTTACCCACTGAGCCATCGTCTCCCCAGACCTGTTCACCTGGTCTCTGTCATGTTAGACTATGGTAGTTATAGTTATTCTTGCCTTTTATGTGGGCTGGGTGCATGATAGAGGCAGCTGTTGTTTGGTCTAGCTGTTGTTTTAGGTTAGTCTTTGTCTCTTGTTTTTTTTCTTCTGCCTTATTGAAGTCAAACCAACTCTGCTGTGTTTCTCTTGAATCAGATCTCTTGTTATTAATGTCATGGTAGGAATGTGAGCTGGTGTTCCTTCACTCCTAGGAATATGGAGTGACTTGCTTTTACTCTTTCAAAGTCTTTGCCTGTGTCCTCTGCATCACAGGGTTTACTGTGATCTTTTTTAGTAGAAGACAAGGAGCTGGGTAGTGGGTGGACATTGTGTCTTGTCCAACCATTGCTAAATCACCTCCTGTATGCTTGGGTCACCAGGTGAAACTGTCTTTAGTTTCCTGCAGTGTACCAGGTTTTTATTGTGACCACAGTAGAGGCCCATGGAAGAGGTTTGCAAGTCAGTGGAATGTATTGTGTCAGTGTGATATGTCTGGATTTGGTAGGCATCTCTAGAGAGGTTCCACGCTCTTGTTTGGTGGGATGAGGAATTGGACAGAGATGTGGATACTAGTAGAGGCAGAGACAGTTTATTTAGAGATGGCACACTTTGGAAGAAGGGGAAGCAGGCTGGAGCAGAGAGTTTAATACCTTCCTGGGGTTGCTACACAAAGGATAATTTTTATGCCACACTGTCTGGCTTTCTGGAGACTTAATGCATCACATGTCTGATTGATATCTTAAACTCCACCTTCAGATACTGCAGTGTTTCCAGTATCCCTCTGCCAACCGGTTTCTTTTCTATGCTCATTTTCAGCCTTTGCTTTGGTCTCTCAGACCTCAGTGCTCTTCTACCTCAGGTGGTGAAAGTTTTCATAGAGCTTCCTAAATCCCAAAGAGAAGCCAAAGCCAGGTGTACCACAGTCCTCTACTAAATTCTTGTCTCTGTCTCCCCTGAGGCTCTTCCTACTGTTTGGTCTTTCTTCCGGCTGTCTGTAAAATTTTCATGCTTCTTTATATGTCTGTTACATTTTTTGTTGGGTATTAGATGCTGAACTTAATGCTATTAGACACTAGATTTTGTTAGATTCCCACTCTACTGCACCCCCGAGACAAGGTTTCACTGTGTTGTGTAGTACTGGCTGTCCTGGAGCTCACTCTATAGACCAGGCTGGCCTTGAACTCAGAGATCCACTTGCCTTCCAAGTACTAGGATTAAAGGCATGTACCACCAATACTAGGCTAGATTCTTTTTAAAAGTAGAAATTTTAGTCTACTGGCCTGTAGGAGATGATGGTGGTGGTGGTGGTGGTGGTGGTGGTGGTGGTGGTGGTGGTGGTGGTGGTGGTGGTGGTGGTGGTGGTGGTGTCTATTAGACAGGGTGTCATTATAAAGCTCTGGCCGTTCTGGAACTCACTATGTAAGCCAGGCTGCTCTCAAATTCACAGAGACCTGCCTGCCTCTGCCTCCAAAATGCTGAGATTAAAATCATACACCAACATACCTGGCATTGTTTAGCTTTTAAAAAACATAGTAATTCATAAAGTTAATGTTGAGTATGCTGGACAAGCTGTATGAATGAGAGATATATATATAGATATATAGATATATCTATATATATATATCCCTAGCTAGAATAGCTCATAGTCTAGAACTAATCTAGTCTCCTTCCTAGAGCAGGCCTTTGAGCTGTTTTTTAAACTCCAAGAAATTCAGGGAATTCTGTTTAGTTTTTCTGGTTGGAGGAAAGTTGAATTGTTCTAAACCCAGTGTGAACTCTGAGAGTTGTTCATTTACAACTCCCCTAGGTGAGAGTTCTTTCCTTGGATTGCTGTTCAGTCAGAAGTCAAGGTGACCTGGTGGGGGTTTCTGGAGCCTGCCTGTTTTTATCACCCTTGTGTACGCTCAGCCCCACAGTTCCAGCTCCTTCAGCCTCTGTGCACTTGGTACACTTGGTTCTTGTAGCCTCCTTGAGTTTTGCTTTAGAAGTTACCCAGGCAGAGAGCCAAGGAGCTATAGTGCTCATCTTACTTTTTCCCTCTTTTTAGGGATCATAGGTCCTAGCTGCCTGCTGTCCCGTGACTGGAAAAGAGTTGTTTCCTGTTTTGTGTTCAGTTTTCTATTATTTATAGTAAGTGGTTGATACAGACCACTTGAGGACATGCAGCTTGGGTGGCCTATATTTGTATTTAGGGGAAACAATTAAAAATTAATTTAAATATTCTTGACTTCAAAAGAAATATCAAAAGTAAAAAGGAAGAAAATGAGAAAATTGCCAGTAGAACTCCATATTAGAGAAAAATCACAAGTTCTTATAGTAAATATTGGCAAATAGATTTCAGATCTTTTTCCCCACTTTATAGAGACAGAGTCTCACTGTGGATTCCTGGCTGGCCTTGAACTTGCTGTGTAGACCAGACTGGCCTTAATTGAATTTGCAGTGATCCCCATGCCTCTATTTCTTGAGTGCATGCATTACCACACTCTACTTAAGTTTCAAATCTGTGGGTAGAAAAAAGTTTGTATAGACACAAAAGTGTTCTCTATGAAGAAGAGTGATAAACTACACTTGTAAAATTCAGAGCTTTTTGCTGTTCTTGGTGGAATTGTTAGCAAGGAATAAAGGGTTGTAATCTGAGCTAGGTATGGTGGCCCAGCCCTAGAGAGATAGAAAGAGTAGGATCAGAAGTTGAGGGCCAGCTTTAGCTACATAGTGAGTTCCAGGCCAACCTGGGCTATATGAGACCATCACAAAACAAAGACACTCAAAACAAAACAAAACAAAACAAAACAAAATCAAATAAATAAATAAATAAAATTGAGAGCTTTTATTATTCAAAAAACCCTTAAATAAAGTAAAAATGACAGTGAAAAATGGGAGAGGATATTCACACTGTGCTCAAGTGAAAAAGATTGTCAAGAACAACAGCAGCTACAACAAAAAGCTGGGCATGGTGGTTCACACCTGTAATCACATTGCGTTTGGGAGGCAGAGGCAAGAGAATCTCAAATTTGAGGCCAGCCTGTGCTACACATTGAGATCTTGTCTCAAAAACAACCAAACAAAATCCTGGTGGAAAAATCATACAGAGCTTGGAGTGGTGACTTGTTCCTTTGCCCTAGAAGGAGAATCACTTGAGCTCAGGAGTTTAGGACCAACTGGACAACATAGTGTGAAGCAAACAGACATCTCAAAACAAAATGAAAGACTACAGATCCATGAAAAATGCACAGAGATTTAAGGTGACAGTAGGTGAACCACAAAAATTGGTATTTTTCGAGAAAAGATACAGGAAGAAATGTTCATCACAGAGAAGTTTTGAATGTTGAAAGACACTTTGGATGTTTTAAAGAGACTGAACTTTTAAAGACTGCAGGACTTTTTAAATTTTTTATTCCTGAGACAGGGTTTCTCTATGCAGCTTTGGCTGTCCTGGAACTCACTCTGTAGACTTGTCTGCCTCTGGCTTCTGAGTGCTGAGATTAAAGGTGTACCCAGCCAACTGTGGACTTTTAAATGTTTTAGTTTGTGATGCTTATATTAATATGAGATCTTGGGGATGATCAAGAAAGACCTTAGTAAGTGATATATTTGTGTGTCATGTTGACAAAGGGACAATTGTCCTGGCTAGTAACTTGGAAAAAGTAAATTAGGATCATTCTGAGTTTTTTCTTATTTATTCTATCTACAGAAATACATTTCTTTTCACATATCTCAGTCTCGCCTTGAATTTGTTATATAGCTGAGGGTGACCCTGAACTCTGTCTGTATCTCCTGAGTGCTGGGATTATATTATGTCCCACAATGCCTAGTTTCTCTGGTGTGCAGTTCCTCATGCTAGGAACTCAGTGTTCCTGCATGTTAGGCAAACATTCTACCAATTATACTTCCTTCCCAGCCCCTAAAAGGATTTTTTTTCCCTTAGATGCTAAGGAAAGGAATGTAAGTTGTTAAAAATCTGACAGCTTAGTTGGACACTGTCTCCTGAGGTTAAATGCACATATCTTTGAAGCCTCGGTTCACTTCCCATATCAGTGCGTACAACAGGAGACATGTATACAAACATTTATAGCAGTATTGTTCACATTGCTAGCTAAACTCAGAAACAACCCAGTACCATCAGTGAGAGAAGAAATAAAATGCGAACAACCATAGGGTTGAGGAGATGACTAAGCAGGTAAAGGCCACCTAGCCTGAAAACCTGACTCTGCCTGAGACCCACATGGTGGAGAGAACTGACTCCCACAAGTTGTCCTCTGACTACCTTTCTCCCCCCCCCTCCCCCCAAGATACGATTTCTCTGTGAAACAGTCCTGGCTGTCCTAGAATTTACTCTGTAGCCTAGGCTAGCCTCGAACTCACAGAGATCCACCTCTTTCCGTCTCCCGAGGGCTGGGTTTAAAGGCGTTGCGCCACCACTGCCTGGCTTCTCTGACTACCTTTGAAATTGATTGTAGTGCTAGCTAGTCTGAGCTACACACGTCAGTCATACTGTTTTATAGTAAATCTTAGGTTTTTATTTCCTTCCTGCTTAGCTTCTTTGTTCATTCATTGTATTTATTTGTTGTGGTTTTGAGAGACTTCTGGCTTTCTGAAAACAAATCCACTCTTAAAAACTGACATTTGCCTTTGAAGTTATTTAGATGTTGGAAAAACTGGTAAAAATAAGATCATACCTCTCTCAAAAGGAGTAGCCTCTTGTGTGTAGAGCTTTTGCCATGTTTATTAAGTTTCTTTTGAAATGGCTGTGAACATTCTTTGTGCAGTGCATAGAAAGACACCATAGCAGTACCCACCTGACTTTAGATGACTGTGACTTCCCCATTCTTCTGTCTCACCAGGTGTACAACGTTTACATGGCAGGGCGGCAGCTGTGTTCGAAGCGGGGTACCGGGAATTTGCCATCCTGCACCAAAACCTAAAAAGAGAGTTTGCCAACTTTACATTTCCTCGACTTCCAGGAAAGTGGCCATTCTCATTATCAGAACAACAGCTTGATGCCCGGCGTCGGGGACTGGAAGAATATCTAGAAAAGGGTAAGCCAGACTTGATTTCTTAGTAAGTAAAGGCACTTGCCACCACATCTAATGACCTGAGTTTAGTCCCCAAGACCCATATGGTAGATGGAGAGAAACAGCTCACACAGGTTGTCCTCGGACCACCACTCATTTGCAGTGGTAGGTGTGTGCCCCACCCAAATGGACTAATAAATAAATGTGAGTTTTAAAAATGTTTAAAAGGGGAAAGGGGTGGTGCACGCCTTTCGTCTCAGCACTCAGGAGGGAGAGGGAGGTGGATCTCTATGAGTCTGAGGCCAGCCTAGTCTATAGAGCGAGTTCCAGAACAGCCAGGGCTACACAGTAAAACCCTGTCTCGAAAAAACCAAAAAAAAAAAAAAAAAAAAAGGTAAGCTAGTCTATTAAATGTTGTTATACTGAGTGGGCATAGCTTCTGATTCCTAAGTTGCATAGCTGTGTTTCCTAAAAGTCAGTAGTGTAAGGAAGCCATGTTTCAGATAAGAAGTAGTAAAGGATCTGGGCCCTGAAGGCAAGGCTGACATGTTCACTACAGTGATAGTACCCTGTTTTGCTAATTTGTAGAGGACCTCTTAGCAGAAAAATGAATAGTTTTTGGTGGTCCTTGGTGGACTTTTATTTATAGGGTTATATTTACCTAGAAATACATATTATGGTGCATTGATGATTCTTGGATCATGGCAGTGTCCTATATAAAAATTCCTTTTACAGCTGTATAGGTTTGCTCAGCAGTTGGCCATCTAAAGTCTCCTTGTTCTCAGCAGTCTATAGGTAGAATTAATGAAACTTCCACATGATAACTTGAGATTCTGTGGATGTGGATACTGAAATATTTGTTTCTCTAGAAATGACACAGATATGAATAAGATAATCTAGTGGTTGTGAGAAGAGACTCACTTGCCTGGCTGTAATATCATAGCTGTATAGCTTGCTAGCTATGTACCTTAGTTACTGTTGTATTGCTGTGAAGAGACACCATGACCATGGCAGCTTATAGAAGAAAGCATTGAATTGGGGGCTTGCTTACAGTGTCAGAGGCTGAGTCCTGGCCATCATCATGGCGGGAGCATAGTAGCAGGCAAACAGGCAGTCAGGCATGGCGCTGGAGCTGGAGCCATAGTTGAGAGCTTACATTTCATTGACAGGAGAGGCATAAGCTTTAGAAACCTTAGTGTCACACTTCCTCCAACAAGGCCACACTTCCCAATCCCCACCAAATAGTTCTAGCAACTGGGAATGAAGCATTCAAACAAATGAGCCTATGGAGGCCATTCTCATTCAAATCACCACACTGTGCAATAGGTTTTTTAGACTATTAGTTTAAAAGAATAATAGTGTAAAGACTAATTGACCTAATTCAATCTAAAATTAAACAAAATAAAACATCCCAACAAAACTAACTTTGGCAGTGAACCTTATTCCTGAAGAACTGTTTCCCACATTGAAAGTGGTGGGACTTTCCTATCTGTTTTTCCTAAAGGAGACTGGCCTCTGAACATGCTATGGGGACATGAGATAGGGTACTTCTAAAAAAATGCAATAAAATCGTCAGTGTTCTTTATCATCCTGGGGTGGGGCTACATTTCTTAGACAACTAGTTACTCGGTTACCTGCTTCTCTCCTTCTCTTCCTTTCTTCTTCCTTTCTCTTCCTGTGTCTTGCTCGGTGTGCCTCTCTGTCTTTCTGTCTGTCTCTCTCAAATCACTTTGTAGGTGGAGTTAGACGCTCTGTCTTTGGTTACCTGCCTCTTTCCCACAGTGATGTTAGATGATGTTCTCTGACTTGCTGTCCTAGAACAAATACATGTTTTCCCTTTGTGTTTCAATTTGACACTTGGTTTATTCTTACCTGACCTTTCTCCTCCTCCCATGGCCTCTTTTTTCCTATGTTTTGATATGATAATTGATCCCATAGGATGAAAATTTAAATATGCTATGCTTTTTTTGTTTTTAACATTTTTAACAAATGACATTTGTATTTTCTTTTATTGTATTGTTCTATATCATTTAGGAGAATTGTTTGTCATGCCTTAAGATTGCATATGCTAAAGATACATATATTGGGTTATAGTTGCCTGTTACCGATGATTTAAACATTTTCTGTTTACTTTTTGGTACCCGGTCTTGTCGTATAGCTCAAGTTGACTGAACTAGCAGCAAACCTCTTGCTTCAGACTCTCTAGTACTAGAATTGAAGATATGTATGACCATGCTCGACTCTGACAATTTTAATGTAAACCTTAGTATATTCTTGATTTAGGGCCTGATGCTAGATTCTCTCTTTGTTTTCTACAGTGTGTTCCATCCGAGTCATTGGTGAGAGCGACATCATGCAGGAGTTCCTGTCAGAATCTGATGAGGTAGGTGAACACCTCCTGCACTGATAATTTCCTGCTTAGCTTCTCATGGGCAAAAATGTAGATAATGTTTGTGGGTTAAGTTGCAATCGACTCTCCAAGCAACTGTATTTCTTCCATTGCCTTTTCATCTATATCTGCCCTTTCAGACCTAGAGCCGGGTTCTTTTTCTCTTAATTGTTTCTTTTTAGTTATGCTATAAAATAATAAATTCATCATGGTATTTTCAGTTACACACATGTATATGTGCAGTTGCACGTGCACACCCATTGTGTTTTGTCCATATCCCTGTCATGAGGCTCCCTGTCCCTTCCCTCTGTCTCTTCCTTGTCTCCAATAGTCCCCCCTGCTTTTGTTTTCCATCTGTATTTATGCATTTGAGTTTGGGGTCTGCATAGGAGAGGAAAATGTGCTACAGTCTCCTTCCTGCTGCATCCTTCTCTTTTGTCCCCCGACCCCCTTTCCTGTTCGACTCCTCTGTACCGTCCCCCTCCACTTTGTCCTGTACATGTATTAAACTCTGAGAGAAAGCACGCAATGCTTGTCTGTCTTCTGACATGAGTCTGGCTGGTTTTGAACGTGATGGTCTCCTGCTCCACCCATTTTCCTTGTGAGTCTTCTGTTTCTCTCCCAGCTGGAGCTAGAAGATCAGCTAGAAGATACTCGCTCCTTTTCACTGTACTGTTCCTCTGCATGTCTACCTGTCTGTCTCCCCTCTTCATTTGCTATTTTTGAAGTTATTGTAAAGGTGATTTTTTTCATCTGATGACAAATGGCAACCACAGTGGTTATTCTGGACCTTCATGTTGGTAAACTGTATTTCTTCATGAGATACAAGTTTCTCTCTGTATTTCTGAGGTAATGTTTTGATCATTTCTGCATTGTCTGGTGGACCCTGATTCGTCAACAAATGTGATAACTTACTTCCTTTAGAATGCTGTAAAATTATGTAGAAGTGACCTAGTAGCCTGCTGATCTCAAAGCCCCTGAGGCACTGGTTTAGGGTCGCCTTTATGTTGGGGAACCTTCTTAATGGTATGTGTGGCAGGACTAATTGAAAGTTCACTGCCATAATTCTGCTGCTGTGAGAAAATGCTAAAATCCTCTCCTCTCCTCCCCTCCCCTACTCACCCCTATCACTCCTCCTTACTTCTCTGTCTCTGAATAAACACATGGCTCATCTTTCATGTTAAAGAAAAAACAAAGTTTAATTCTTTCTAGTAGCCATTTTTCTCTGTTCATCACTAAGGTTCTTAGAGAACTGTTCTGTTTTACTGCCATTTCCCTACTTGAAAATTTGAAACTTGCCCACAGTTTTCAGGATTCAGTTTGAACTCCTACATGGTACTCACATGGCACATCCTGGTCTGGCCTCTCTCTCTAATATCAATCCCTACCAATTGTCTGATGTATCGTTATTCCACGTACTTTAGTACTTTCATTTCTCCTTTATGGTGCTACGACTCAAACCTGGACACTCATGCATGCCAAGCAAATGCTCTGCCACTGTGACACGTCTTCAAACCTACAAAGTATGTTTTTAACATCTATTTATTTATTGTGTGTCTATGCTTGTACAGGCAGTGCAGCATACCACAGCATGGTAGACAGCTTGGGGAACAGTGGTTCTTTCCATCATGTAGATTTTGGGGACCAAACTCATCAAGGTCATCAGGTTTAGTGGCAAGTGCCTTTATCAACAGAGCAAACCTACTGACCCTCTCATTGGCTCTGGAGTACTTTTTATTTCCTTAATCCATATGTCGTTCCCTAGAGTTTCTGCTCTTCCAGGGAATCTCCCCCCTCTTTACCTCCATGCCCATTGTTTGTACCGCTCATCCTTTAGAACAGATCAAAGGTCACTTCTCTCTGAGCACCCTTCTGGCTCTCTGCACTTCAGCTGTCTTTATCAACTCCTCTTGTGCTATGCCCTGCTCTGTTCTTCCTGCCTTTGGAATGGAATCTGTTCTTTGTTACTTTGACACAGTGAACTCATTCACTGTGCTGTGCAGAGGCAGTTTGTAGTCTGCCGTTTTCCAGTCCACCTTCTCTTTGAAGTCTTTCTTCTCTGATGACTCAAGTCATCAGGTTTTCATCCTACAAAGAACTTCTGCGGTTAGTACCACTCATGTTATTGCCATCTCATTCTCTAATTTTATACATATAATCAGTTTGTCACTTTATATTTTTAGCTTACAAGAGTGTGTGAGCTACCAGTAGGTAAGAGCTAAATCTTGATTTATCTTTATATTCCCAGTGCCTTACCACAGTGTCACGCATGTTGGAGGTGCTTAATAAGTATTAATTGGAAAGAAGGATGAATATGTAATACTAATGTGTTGTCCATCAGTTATTTAATATGTATATATCTTGTTTTCCTGACTAGATTAGAAGCTTCTTGTAGATAAGGGTATAAAATAGAATAATGCCCTCCCTTGTCCATGGTTTTATTTTGTTATCTGTGGTCAGCTATGATCTAAAACTATAAAATACAATATTTCAGAAATAAACACTTTGTAAGCTTCCATTCTGAATACTATGCTAAAGGTTTATGTCATTCTGTGCTGTCCCATTTGGGACCTAAATGGTCTTCTGTCCAGTATATGCCTACTCTGCATATGCCACCTTCATGGTAGTCACCTAGTAGTTTGGTCAGTTATCAGAATACCTGTTCTAATATCGCACACAGTGCTTGATGTATTCAAATAAACCTTAATGATGCCTTCAATGTGGGAGAGTAGTAGTATTAGCAATCACATAGACCCAAGGGAAGCCATTGAGTACTTCCTTAACAACAGTAAGAAAAAGAATCCTGGTAAGATTGCCAAGGTCTATAGTAGGAATGCCCATTCAATCTATGAAATTATGGACAAGAGAAGTAAATTTATGCTGGTTTTGCAGGAGCACCTTTACCTATAAAAGTTACAGCCATGGTGCATGATAATTGCTTAGTGCAGATGGGAACAGCATCCATTGTGGGTTTCAGTACCAACTACCGCTCCTGGCATGCATTGTGGATCTTGGGACATAACCCCTGTGGGTCAGAGGGAAACTATTGTAATGTTTAGGGTACTTTTAGACAAAGAGTAGTAATTTTTTTAATGGTCAGTGAAAATGAACTTATTCCTAGATGGTTATTTCTCAGTAATAAAAATTATAAGGTTGGGCTGGAGAGATGGCCCAGTTGTTGAGGGCACTGACTACTCTTCCTGAGGACCTGGGTTCAATTCCCAGCACCTACATGGCAGCTCACAACTGTGTGTAACTCTAGTCCCAGGGCACTGGACACCCATGGCAAAACATCAATGCACATAAAATAAAAATATATAGAAGAGGGAAAAAATTACAAGGTCAAAAATCTGTTAGAAGCTTGGCATGGTGGTTCATGCCTATAATCTCAGCATTCTAGAGACCAAGGCACCTTGAGTTCATGGTGAACCTGGGCTACAAGGCAAAACTATCTCCCCTTTCCCCCCACAAAAAAACCCAAAAAGACAAAAGACAAACTGTATTAGAAAAATATGTTGAAGCTAGAGAAATGGTTTAGCAGTTAGTATCCTTTGTTGTTCTTGCAGAAGACCTAGGTTCAGTTCCCAGCAACTGAATTGTGGCTCCCAGCTAATCTGTCCTCTAGCTCCAGGGGATCCAAAGATGTTCCCAACCTCTGTGAGCACTGGATATGCACATGGTGCATGTACATATATGTAGGGACACTATACACATAAAATAAGTCTAAAAAATTAAAAAAGAAAAATATGTTATTATCAGAAGCCATGAGGATTGGTGTTTTGTTGTTGTTGTTTGTTTTTTGTGCTAGATCCCTAAGCATTGTAAGCAAGCATTCTCACACTGAGCTATATCCCCAACTCTAAGTGTTTGTTTTTAATTAAGTAGAGCAAGAATTGTGTAGTCTTTGCTTAGAAAATTGGGCATGAAACTACTTTACATCCCTGTCTCACCCATTTTTCCTTTTGAAAGTGTATATCAAGGTTCAGAAAGGACGTCAGCGTATCTCTTAGCAGATCTCGCTGCCTAATTACTCAGCCAGTGTTGAGACTGCTCCTGTCTGTTGGGTTTTCTCTCCATTGTGAGTTCTGAATGGGTGACAGGAGTGAACCAAAGTCTCATCTGGGTTTCACCTAGACTTTTCAACAGTATTCTATTTTGAAATGGGAACTTGATTTTAACTTCTATACCCTAAAGTCAGCTTTATGAGCTGTAAATATATTAACTTTTAAGACTTCATTTTTCCTCATTTTAATTGAATTTACTTTCTGTTTCTTATGTTAGATATTGTTTTGCTAGCATGTAGCAAGGAGAGTGAAAATTTACTGGGTTGCGAATTCTTTCTTTTCCTTTAGAATTACAATGGTGTGTCCGATGTAGAGCTGAGAGTAGCATTACCAGATGGAACAACAGTTACTGTCAGAGTTAAAAAGAACAGTACTACAGACCAAGTATACCAGGTAAGTTAAACTTGAGCAAGTCGACTTGACATTGGATGATGTGAAGCCAAGTAAAAAATTAAATGAGTTAATACATACAAAATGTGCAGGATACACTTACTAATTCATAGGACTAATGTGAAGTAACTTTGTCCTTCTTAAAAGAAAGGTATATGTGAGCTGGGTGTATTGGAGTGTGCTTGTATATTTGTAATCCCAGCACTTGGGAGGCTAAGGTAAGACTGATGCAAGTACTAGGGTAGCCAGGACTATACAGCAAAACCTTGTAAAAAAAAAAAAGAAAGAAAGGAAGGAAGGAAGGAAGGAAGGAAGGAAGGAAGGTAGATAGGTAGGTACGTACGTACAGTAAATACCCCAGAGTGCAGTGGTTATGATTAACTCCCTTTTTTGTTGTTGTAAAAAATCCTTTTTTAAAAATGGTATATGTAGTCAGGCAGTGGTGGTACATGCCTTTAATTCCAGCACTTGGGAGACAGATGCAGATGGATCTCTTGAGTTTGAGGCCAGCCTGGTCTACAGAGTGAGTTCCAGGACAGCCAGAGCTGCACAGAGAAATGCTGTCTCCAGAGCCATTTTTCCAGCCCTGAAAAAACTTTTTTAACATATATAGAGTCAGAATAGAATCATAAATTTCTCTGTATGCTTTCTTTTTAATGGTGTGAGAGAGATATAGAACCCAGGGCCTTGGGCATACTTTTTAGGGAAGTATTCTATCACTGAACTACATCCCCAGTTCCTTCATTAGTCATATTTAGTAATAATTATCAAGATCTTGCCACATTTACACCATGTACCCTTTTTTCCTTTTCTTCTAAGGGTATTTTGTGTTTGTTTTTTTAATTTTGTTTTTGGGCAAAATCTATGGTAGACCTGTGTGTATAGTTCAGCAAACATCTAAAACATGCACATTCTTTATATATAACCAATACCATTATCAAATCTTAAAACAACACCATTTCTTATTGTTAATTAACTCCATAGTTAGAATTTTTCAGTTATCAAAATGAATTTTTATAGTTGGCTTGTTAAAAATCTGATGGAAACAGGTTGTTATGTCATATTTGGTCTTAATTTTTACTTACTATAATATAGTCTCCCTTCCTTGCTTTTGTGTGTGTGCAGAAGTTGGATCATGCTGAATTTATCTGCTTGTTTCCTTGTAGGTTATTTATCATGTCCTTCTAGTTCCCTGTATTTTCTAGAAATAGAAATTTACTCTAGAATCTTGATTATATTTGTTTTATTTTTTAATACAAAATACAAATACTTTATAATTAGGCTGTATAATATAAAGTGTTGCTTCTCAGTAGGCACTACTCAGTCTCTGCTTGTCCATTTTAGTGGTAACGTGATTGATGAGTAGTTTGGTGGCGTTTACCCATTTAGAAGAGGGAAAAAATTACAAGGTCAAAAATCTGTTAGAAGCTTGGCATGGTGGTTCATGCCTATAATCTCAGCATTCTAGAGACCAAGGCACCTTGAGTTCATGGTGTGGTTTATGTCATTCTGTGCTGTACTACAGAGTTTCTCCTGATCTTTTTCCAGATGAGTTTGTCCATTGCTAATTGTTACCTTAATCAGTAATTTCAGAAAGGTTGCAGTGTGCTGGTTTCTAGTTCTCTCATTTTTTTCACATAGCTAGAATTCTTCTGTAAGTAACTTTTTCTTGTCAGCGAAGGCTATTGATTTAGCCTGAAAAACAGTTTGTGGGAGAGAAAGGTTAAAAAATTAATTCTTTCCTTTATTGGCAATTTTCAGAGTAAAGAATGGATGCTTTAGTTGATTCCAGTGTTGTCCAGTGTAATAATTATTAATAGTTTATTTTTAGTTACAGGTAAATTTCTAATTAAATGTGATTTAATAAACAGCATGTTATTATCTCTATGATGCTCAAATGGTCGCATCTTTGGCCAAAGGAAGTTCCTTTATGTCTGTCTGTTCCTGTGTACTTTTGGTACTATCCATTAACTTATGGGGTATTTTATTAAAACAAGATATCTTGGTCTCTTCTTTAGACATTTCTTGGCCTAGATCTAGAATAAACCCCTTCCTCTATTAGTCTTGGTTCTTGGTGAGAAATAACATTTAAAATCACGATCTGGGTGTTGGGTATAATCACTATTTGCAGGCCCATTTATTCGCCTTTAATCTGAACTGGATCAAGATTTTCAGGGAGATAGACAGAATTCTGGTTATCAGCGCTTATTCAGAGCACTCCTTTATAGCAAACAAGAAAATCTATCCTTCATTAATCATCTGCAATTACCATGGCAGTTGATTATTTGTAGGATTCCAGCCATCTTTGAATTTTATAGGAATGGAGTATATTGGAGTAATTGTAAAAGGTTTGTTTTTACTTTTTGGGGGTGGGGTTCAAAACAGGATTTCTCTGTGTAAAACTCTGGCTGTCCTGGAACTCCCTCTGTAGCCCAGGCTGGCCTTAAACTCACAGAGATCCACCTGCCTCTGCCTCCCCAGTGCTGGGATTAAAGGTGTGCTCTGCCACTGCCACTGCCGCCGCTGCCGCCGCCGCCGCCACCACCGCCACCACCACCACCACCACCATCACCACCACCACCACCACCTTGCAACTTTTCAGATGTTTTGTTCTCTACTTTTTTCAATGTTTCTTTAGAAAAACCTAGGGTATTTTTTGTTTAATTTTTTTATATGTTTGTATAATCTGTGAATATGTATGTAAACATTGTTTGCAGTTATCTGGAAAGGCCAGAAAAGGGCATTGGGTATCCTGGAACTGGAGTTCCAGTGTGGGTGCTGGGAACTAAACTTATGTCCTCTGTAAGTGCAGCAGTGCTCGTATCTGCTGGACCACATCTCCAGCCTGGACTCTCCCTTCCCCAATCATATTACTGAATCTTGTAGCTAGAAGCCATTTTGTAAACCCTGAGAGTATTCTAGTTTTGATCCAGTGCAGTATAGAAAGGTGATTTAGAATACTTGTAATTTCCAGTTCCTACACAATATCAGATGAACCTAGGCTGGGTATGTGAGCAGATACAGGAAGAAGGGATATAATCATATTTGGTTCAGTCTTCTAACAGTTTTTAGCTGTTTAGTGAATTGTTTAGTGACTACCTTGCTTATATTGGGAGTGCTCTTAAAAAACTGATTTTGGGCCGGGCGGTGGTGGCGCACGCCTTTAATCCCAGCACTTGGGAGGCAGAGGCAGGCGGATCTTTGTGAGTTCGAGTCCAGCCTGGTCTACAGTGCGAGATCCAGGAAAGGCGCAAAGCTGCACAGAGAAACCCTGTCTCGAAAAACCTAAAAAAAAAACAAAAAAAAAACTGATTTTGTTTTCTGTTGTGTACTTTTTTGTTGTTGTTGTTTTATATGTAATTTCATTTTGATTTATTTGCACATGAAACCTTTCCATTTCTTTCTCATTTGTCATGTTAGGGCCTTAGTTTCCAGAGAGGATTGGATCTTTTTTAATATGCTGTTTGTTAATGTTTGGTTACTTCTGTGAAGATATTGGTGACTTTAATAAATAAATAAATAAAAATAAATAAAAAATAAAAATAATTTTTGAATTCTGAATAGAATTAACAATGTTAAAAAAGGAAAAGAAACAAAAGAAAAAAAGAAAAAAAAGGAATTAACAGTGTTTTAAGCCCAAGAATTCAGCACAGAAATGCACACATACATATAGTTCCAGGTACTTAGGAGGCCTGGCTTGTAAGAGGACTGCTCTAGTCTAGGAGTTCAAGGCCGATATAACCAACAGAGTGAGAGCCTGTCTCTAAAACAAGAAAATAAGAACCAAAGGTTGAGAGGTCTGGAGAGATGGCTTAGCAGCCCTGGCTGCTTTTCCAGAAGACCCAGGTTTGATTCCCATCACCCACACGGCTGCTGATAACTGCCTATAACTGCATTCTTTGGCGATCTACGTCTTCTGGCTTCCATGAGCACCAGTCATACAGACAGATAGATACACATGCAGGCCAAACACTCATACACATAAAATAAAATAAAAATACTTTGCCGGGCGGTGGTGGCGCACGCCTTTAATCCCAGCACTCGGGAGGCAGAGCCAGGCGGATCTCTGTGAGTTCGAGGCCAGCCTGGACTACCAAGTGAGTTCCAGGAAAGGCGCAAAGCTACACAGAGAAACCCTGTCTTGAAAAAACAAAAAAAAAAAAACTTAAATAATCAAAGGCTGAGATTTTTGTGTGTTAACAGCCTATAGTAAATGTAAGCTGAATATGTAAAACTAGGTGTCAGAGAATCTGTTTTTAGGTATGGTGAGATGCCTCAGTGGGTAAAGGCTTTTTCCTCTAAGGCTGACAGCCTAAGTAATCCTTAGAGCAGCGCTGATTCTTGCACATTGTTCTCTGACCTCCACATGAGCTCATCCCACACACACATACACAGAGACATACACACACACACACACACACACACACACACACACACACACAAAGTGAATATTTTAAGTATTTTTTTAAAAATTGTTTTAATTTTATGATCTGTCCTGTCAAGTATATTTCTTTAAGTGATATAAAACACCTTTGTAGGGACTGGAGAGAGAACTCAATTCTAAGCGATCCATTGTCTTTTTCTAGTTTCTGTGGGCATCCAAATATACATGGCATTCATTCACACAGACACAGACACACACATACACATTAGTAAAATAAACTCAAAAAATACGTTTGTGGAACTAATTCATATTTTAAAAAGGAACTTTGATACCAAGGAGGAAACTATTGTCAGCTTGTATTGAAAGAGAGATGCTCACAGAGGGCAGCTGTATTTGGATTCATTCATATGTGTGCACATGTGTACCTTAAGGATAGTTGTGGCCATGGTGGCTTTCATGAAGCCAGGATGCAGAGTGTCTCCCTTTCCCTTCTCATACATCTACTTGTCCCCATAGCATTGTCTGAACTTACTTTTCCTGAAACAATTCTATCATGTTTAAACTTCAGGCTATTGCAGCAAAGGTTGGCATGGACAGTACAACAGTGAATTACTTTGCCTTATTTGAAGTGATCAATCATTCCTTTGGTAAGTGCTGATGTCTGTTACTCTATTTTGTTTGGGGTGTTTTAATCTAATACTCTTGGACAGAAACTGCTTTGCCAAAGAAGAGCTTAAGGATGAGAACAGAGCCCACTTACTACTACTGCCTTCAGCAAGCAGACTGGGAAGATCTTGTAAAGAGTTTCTGATCACTGTCCATCCATCGTTGTCTTTTGTCAGTCTACAGCAACTTGAATTCCTCGGGAGCAACCATCTTCCTAGTATTTTTCTTCCCAATTCTCAGTGGCCTGATACACAGATAGAAATTGTGTTATGAAGAATTGGTAGGATGCCAGGATGCTTGGATTTTAATCTTATCCTTTCTAAGCTTTAGCCTCACTCTCTATAAAGGGGAAATATTGAGCCTGTCTTTGGTAGTGTTAGAAAGCCAATTAAGCCTCAGGAAAGGCCTTAGGAGCCAGTGTGGGGATTAGAAATAGTAAACTGGGTGTGGTGTCACATGCCTGTAATCCCAGCCCAGTGAAGCCAGGCTGTTTGGAAGTTGCTCAGAAGATGCCTGGACTGTGACAAATGCCTTAGGATTTGGGGAGTGGGTGAGAAAGAAGTACTTTTCAGTTCTGCACAAATAAATGCAGTACATTGAGAGTGGCCATAGGAGAGACTCCGGATGTCTCCTAGCTGGGTAAGAGGAGAGGCTGCACTAAAGACATTGGTGGATAGCATGTCGGTCCACTGATGTTTGTAACTCGGCAGATCAGGCATTTTAACTGAGTTTGGGGTTGGCACTCTATGCAGTCGTGCTAGCTGAAAGGCCTGTCACTCAAGCAGGAGATTTCGGTCATTTGCCTTGCTGGCCAGAGTCTTCGTTAGAAGGGTAGGTCTGGCTGGGTCTGCAGGTGTGTGTTCTTGAGGAGTTTGAGCTGATGCTGTGATTAATGACGACGACTGTATTGGTCTGCCTTGTACAGTTTCTACTTGGGAGACTCCTATATATCTCTCCACTTCAGCTTTCTTTATTTTGTCTTCTTCAGTACGTAAGCTGGCACCTAACGAATTTCCTCATAAACTCTACGTCCAGAATTATACGTCTGCTGTACCAGGCACCTGCCTGACCGTTCGCAAGTGGCTCTTTACAACAGAAGAAGAAATCCTCTTAAATGACAATGACCTTGCTGTTACGTACTTCTTTCATCAGGTAGGTAAACAAGGCTGCCTTCTAAAAGCCAATTTCTTTTTCTATTTGTAGATAGTTGGTAATTTGACAATTCAGTGTGACTCCTTGGCTCTGAGTAACACAGAACAGTGTATCCCATTTCATAAGAGACAAATGCTAGAGCTATGCCAGAGTTTTTTAAAAGTTCAGTTTTTTTAATCAACAAGATGAGTCTTATGACTATATGTGTTCAGTGTTTTTAAAGCAGTATTATATATATATGCTGTATGTCTGAGAAAAGCAAGATATCTTTTTTTTTTTTTTTTTTTACTATGTTCTCATATCATAGTCAACACAGAAGACCTCTGTGATGTCAGGGGCAGAGAAGTTTCTCCCACCAGCAAGTGTGTGATTCTTCAGTGGATACCACCCCAGGCATCATTAAGTGTAATTCAGTTCTGACACTATCTACATGGAAATATCAATCTCACAGATCAAGGGCTAAATTCCTCAAACTGCCTCCATTTTAGACATAGTTACAAGTCCTCTGAAACTGCTAAACAGCTAGCTGCAAACTGAGGCTCCCACGACCCCTCCCCCACCACACACACTGCTTCTGCTTTGAGTAATTTGCTTAAATTGCTCACAGAACTCAAAAAACTTAGTATTTACCACTTTATTACAGAGGATATTTTAAAGGACATGAATAAGCAAGAAATATAGTGATGTATAGTGAGCTTAAAAAGGTCTAAAGCATAGGAGCTTCCGTCTTGGGAGAGTTGGGAGTACACTGCCTTCCTGGAAGGTGGGTGAGTTCTCATGTTCACTGTCCTGCAAACTGGTCATGTTAAGTAGTCCAGGGACTCAGTCTTTGGGGTTTCAGGGTGTGTGTGTAACATGCACTCAAATGTGGCAGTGTGCATGCCCACACACGAATATGCTGAGGCCAGAGCAGCACATCAAGTGCCTTCCTCTGTCCTTTTCTGTGTTACTGTCTAGAGATAGGGTCTTTCACTGAACTAGCCCACCAGTTAGGCTAGCTAGGCTGACTGGCCAGTGATTTCTCTGGATCCGCTGGCTCCTCCCAGTGATGCTTGGATTATAGGCAACCATAGCCCAGCTTTTTTTAAAGGGGTGCTGGGGATTCAAACTAGGCCCTCACACTTGTAGAGCAAGCACTTACCCACTGAGCCCTCTTCCTTCGTGAGTGAGTGAGTGAGTGTGTGTGTGTGTGTGTGTGTGTGTGTGTGTGTGTGTAGAGAGAGACTTAATACATGAGCATGACTGAAATATAAGCAACCATATTAAAATGTGATTGGATATACCAGGTTTGGTTTAATGCTGTTAGACTAAATGATGATACCCAACTTAGCCTCTCTGTATAGCATTCCTTTTTCATTGGGACCAGGATGCCCTTCATAAATAGGGGTCTTCTCAGGAGAAGGTTTTGTTTCATTTGGGTATGTATTCATGTGTAGAGAGTGGTAGTGTGGGTAAATATATGAACCTGTGTGTGTAGAGGCCAGAAGTCAACTTTGGGTGGTGTTTCCCAGGAATTACCCACTCTAGTTTTGAGACAGGGTTTCTCACTTGGCTTGGAACACACACCGTTTAGGCTTAGACTGACTGGCCAGCAAGCCCCAGGGACCCTATTGTCACCGCCTTCCCAGCACTGGGATAACAAGTGTGTGCTACTACATCTGGCCTTCTTTTTTTTGGGGGGGGGGGTAGTGTTTATGAGTGGTCTACCTGCATGTATGTATGTTTACCATATGCATGCCTGGTACCCAAGGAAGCAAAAAGAGGACATCAGATTCTCTGGATGTTACAGATAGTTGTAAGTACCATGTAGGTACTGGGAACCAAATTTGGCTCCTCTGTAAGAGTAGCAAGTGCTCTTAAACAATGAGCCATCTCTCCAGCCCTATATGAAGCTATTTGTATGAGAACTGGGGATTGAACTTAGCTTCTGTGCTCACACAGCAAGCAGTTTACCAACTGAGCTCTCTCCCCAGCATCTTCAGAGGGTCCCTTTATAGCCAACTCAGAGACAGAAAGACAAGGGAAAATTAGCACCGCCCCTGTAAGGACATTTAGGGGCCTGGGAAAATGGCTCAGTGGGTAAGAGCATTGGCTCTGCAATCATAAAGAACTGAGCTCTAATCCTTAACACTCACATTAAAAAGGTGAACATGCGTATGAACTCAGAGACTGAGGTAGCATATATAGGGTCTGCACGGGTCTGCACGGGTCTGCACCAGGTCCTCTGTGTATGTATTATGGCTTCCAGTTTTGTGTTTTTATGGGATCCCTGAGTGTGCAAACAGCTATATTTTGGGGGCTCTTTTCCTTCTTTTTGTTTTACCAATTCCAATGTATTAGTTTTGGTTTTTCTTACACATTTTATTATTATCCCTTAAAACCCTACTTGTTTTCTAATGAGAGATAGAAAGGGAGTGGATCCAGATGGGAGGGAAGGTGGGGAGGAACTGGGAGGAGAAGAGGGAGGGGAACTTTCGTCAGGTTATGTTATTTGAGAAAAAAAATCTATTTTTAATAAAAGGAAAAGAAAAAGCTGAGCATGGCTGGGCATGGTGGCATACAACTTTAATCCTAGCACTCTGGAGGCAGAGGCAGGCCTCTGAATTCCAGGACAGCCTGGTCTACATGTACATTCCAGGCCAGCCAAGGATACATAATGAAATCCTGTCTCAAAAAAACCAACCAAATGGGGACTGGAGAGATGGCTCAGTGGTTAAGAGCATGTACTGTTCTTCTAGAGAATCTGAGTTTGATTCCCAGCACCCATATCAGGTGATTCACATCCACCTGTAACTCTAGCTTCAGAGAATCTGTCGCCACTGGCCTCTTTAAACATCTGCACTCATGTGCATATCTCCCCGAGACACATATACATATACATAATTTTTAAAAGGTAAATAAATAAATATTAAAAAACAAACAAAATAGTGGAGCATGAGCCAAGTGCCTGTAATTCCAGCACTATGAGGTGGAAACAGGCAGGTCTTCAGAGCTCACTGTCTCAAGGCAACAAGGTAGAGAGTGGAAGAGGAGACACCCAATGTCCTGCCCTATCTCGCCTTGTGTGCATATTCATGAGTGCCAACATACACATACACACACACAACCTTCTAAAGACGGTTAGAGCTCCAAGTATTTATTTTAATAGTTTTTGTTTTCAAAAGGAATCTTTTGTGAAGCTTTTGGTCTCGTGGGTCTGAATTAGTGCCCCTGTATACTCTGTATATCTTCATTCTGATGTTTACTCTCATGATCTCCTGTATGGATCTCTATTTCTACTGCTTGAGTATATGCCTTCCCATCCCCTTTAATCCTTAACTTTGGTAGAATAGAATACATACTCAGAGTCAAGAAGGGGCGGGTACATAGGATATCACATTTAAAATCTTGACTAACTGAAGATGCCCTCACATTTGATTGATGTTACGGTTGGGAATAGAATTCTAGGTTGAGGGGTTGGGGATTTAGCTCAATGGTAGAGCGCTTGCTGCAAGGCCCTGGGTTTGATCCTCAGCTCAAAAAAAAAAAAAATAGAATTCTAGGTTGAAAATTATCTTTTTTCCAAATTTTAAAGCATTATCTGTGGTTTAGGAGTGCATTAGAGAATTCAAAGCAACAGATTTTGGGTCTCTTGGTGGGTCACATAATACCCAGCTGATGATGGGTATCTCAGGTCACATGGTAACTTGGTCACCCATTGTCAAACACTCAGTTTCCACTAAGACCAAGTAGCAGGCCAAGAGCTGTCTCTCCAAGTAAGAAATAGAAATGGTTATCTGCAGACGATGGTAGATCTGCATAGATGGTAGAACCTGCTCCAAAATCCCAAAGGTCTCCTCACCTGTAGGGGCCTGCCCAAGGCTCCAGATAGCATCCCTGTCGTCCACTGGCACCTCAAATACTCTAGGTTCTGCTGGCTCATATGGTCCAAGTGGTAGAGCAGCCTGCACATCAGCCTGGACCTGTTGAAGAGACTGCTCCCATTCCAGGCCCCACACAAAGCTAGCAGCTTTCCCAGTCACTTGGTATATGGGCTGGAGTAACACACCCAAGTGAGGAATGTGCTGTCTCCAGAATCCAAATAGGCCCAGTAAGTGTTCTGCTGCTGCTGGTGGTGGCAGCTTCTTCAAGATTGAGTTCATTTTTATGTATATGAATGTTTTACTTGAATGTATGTTTGTGTGTCATGTGCATATGTAGTACTTGCTGAGATCAGAAGAGAGCATTGGGTCCCTAGGAGCTAGAGTTATGGACAGTTGTGGGTGGAATTGAACCTGTGTCCTCTGCAAGAAAAATAAGTGCTCTTTACCACTGAGCCATCTTTCCAGCCCTAGTATTGTACTTCTTTTTTGGTGGTGAGAGGGCCAGGTATAGTAACTTACCCTTCACCTTAGAAATAATATCTCTACATGCCCTATACCACTGAACCCCTAGAGATTTCTCTGAGGTAGAAGGCCCTTGAATTTTGATTGGATTAATTTCCCATCATCTGATGCACATGTGCATTACCAACAAGTCCAAAGTAGCTGTCTCCTCCTGCTCACTTGGTCTTATCAGCATAATGTATCAATATAGCGCACCAATGTGATATTTTGTGGAAGAGACAGATGATCAAGATCTCTTCAAACTAAGTTATGACACAGGACTGAATATTTAAAATACTTTTGAGATGAAACTATAAAGTTATACTGCTGGCCTTGCCTACTGAAAGCTAAGTATTTCTGGTGGCCCTTATGGACAGGTACTGAGGTAAAGGCATTTGCTAGATCAATAGCTGCAGGTCACGAACCAAGAGATATGTTCATCTGTTCAAGTAAAGCCACTGCATTTGGTACAGCATTTGCAGTCAGAGTCACTACTAGATTAAGTTTGCAATAGTCAACTGTCATTGTCCATCACCCATCTACCTTTGGAGTAGGACAGACAAGAGAGTTACAGTGAGATGTGGAAACCACCTTCCCCACAGTTTCAAGTCCTTGAGGTGGCATTAATTTCTGCAA